TTGTATTAAATTAAAAGTTTAAATGTTATGTATATGCTATATGCTTAAATATGCTGAAAACCTGAAGAAACATACGAAAAATTCTTTATAATTTAGTTACGTTAGCTCATAATTTAGATGAAATTTCATTTTTTTATATAAAAAAAAATGAACTGATTAAATGTTGAAATGTCATAATATCAAATTTTCTGAAAATGAAATAGAATACCGTCTTAAATTAAAAATATGTGTTTTTACGATATAACTAAACTGTATTAACCTATATAAAATATTATCTTTTTATGTATTATTATACAATTATATTTTATTAAATATTATATTATCAAAATTTTATTATATTTTATAGAAAGGTTTAATCCTCTAAATCTCGTAGAATATTCATTTGATATCGGGCGATTTAAATCGTTCATTCGCTAAATTGTGATCGAAATCAGATTTACCAGATTTGATCTGTAAAGATACTCCCAATAGAATCGGGTCATATCGAGTACCTCTACATGTACGTACGTACATATTTTTTAAAATACGTGGCGTCAGTAGAAATCCCGTGCTTCGAGTATATTTCTCTTTTCTTCAGAGGCAGAATCTTCTTCCGTTCGCGGTAGCTGAGCAATCGGTTCGTTAAATCATGTTTCGTTCGTTTTGCTTCCGCACTCCCGATCGGGCAAAGTCGGTTCTATATTTCCTATTTCTCCTCTGAACCGAATAACCCGGTTGGAAAGACTATGTTAATCGATGCTTCGTGAAAGCTCAAGAATCCACTGAACATATATATTTCTGCTGACTAACGAGCCTACATGCGGACGAAACGGCTAATCTAATGAGTTCGCTTTTATCTCCGATTCATCGACGTCATCGACAATCGTCATTTTTATGAATGACTCAGTATTATTATAGCTATTATTATAAATATGCTGTTTTATAATTATTTCTTGGACGCTATTGATAATTTTGCATTGAGTATGTATTATTTAAAATTAATAAGAAAAGAGATGATTATTTTAATTTATAAATTTATAAAGTATATATATGTATGTAAAATAATTACAAAATGAGACATAATAATACCACTTAGAATTATTTGTAGATGCAAGTAGAACAAGTCAAGCAATGGGATTACCGCTATTTCCCCTCATTCCTGAAATCTTTTTCTAATTTTCTGATTTTCGCGTGCCAACATTGCAGCTGTGCTTGCGAGTGCAATATCTGGTGCAATAAGGAAGTCCTTAGGTCGAGATAAAAAATTCCGTCTGACTGCGCGAGAGCTTATACGATCCAGACGGAATCCGTCCTTTTTTTCCGTCTTTCTTCACAATCGCGGAATTTACATTCTTCCATCACCTTCTCGATCGGGCTTCACTTCTGACTCATAGTTCGTTCGCCCGTTGGATTTTACGTGTCCCGAATACGTGAATCTCTCGGGAAAACTGTCGCGGAGCAATTTTCCTAAAAAGCTACACGCTGCGTCTCGTTTCGTGAATGAGATAAAGGATCGACTGACACAAGGCCGGAAATGTCCAATTTTGAGATGACCTTCCGATATTTAATAGAACAGCTTGAGATAAGACATATATATATATATATATATATATATTTTTTTTTTTCTTTTATATCTGCCAATGTGCAGGTTCAAAAATAATTCTCAAAAATAAGTCTAGCGAATGATTCTTTATTTATATATGACCAATATATGTCTTTCGTGTCTGATATAAATAAGTTAGAAATATATTTCCATAAATATATTTTCATAGAACTGTGGTATAACATGTAATTATGACAGTAAAGTAATAACAGTAAAGTAAGTAGTAATTAATTAAATTTTGTTGCTCTATATTAATATTATTTTTTAATGTTTATCTCTTTTATTAATTCTGAATAATATATATAACGCATTTTGATGCAAAACAAGCAACATTAAGATTTGAAATTTACACGGCAATTCTATGAAAAACTAATTTGCTCTTTTTTATTTGCTTTTTCCTACATAGTTGAAAGATGTTGAAAAGTGTCGAAAAAAAAAATAATATCGCGAAAGTGAATTTAATCGCCACATTCATTTTCGCCACATCAATTTTCCGTTTCTGTTGGTTATCACCTATTTTTCGGCGCACATACATTGAGCTTTCGTCGCAATTTCGCGGTGAGGAATGTCTCTTTGCTTTTTTTACCTTCTTGGATTTCGTCGTGGGAGGAGGAAAAGTTGAGGTACTTCTTTCACAGGGGAGACGGGCGGCGAAAGGCGCAGTCGGGAAAACTCGATATCGAATTTTCTCGCTACATAACGCACGCGAGATGAATTCACGGTGTGAATTCGTTTCGGTCTGTGATACGTGAACGTAATAAATATTTAATGCGCGCGTAATATTCAAGGTGCACCGGAATTGGACATCGTGCCATATCTTTCGACTGTAGACTTCTCCTACATATTCTTTTCCTCGGGGAAAATTTATCGCGATTATAATTTATCATGAATTTTTATCTTTATACACCTTCAACATTTTGACATTATAAAACAGTTGATTTTTCATGGGATTAATCGACATACAATTGTTTGCGATAAAAAGATTACGAACGGCAGAACTCTCGCGAGATAGCTTTTCAATGATCGATTTTTCTAAAGTTAACATTTTTCATAATTTATATTACTCGCGCAAAAAGTACATCCGAGCACAACGATTCCGTGATCGACGATGTCGTTTTCTATGAAAATAAAAATACTAACCGGCGAACCGCAATAATAAATTCGCATCTTTACAAGAACGAAAAACATCTTCACGAGATATGTAGCGCGTAATTATTTCTCCCATTTTCATCACTTATGTTGTTTTGTATCGTTTTTTTTTCACAATTTATTTTAAATTTCTACTGGAAATATTTTTAAGCGTTTCAGAAATTGAACATATCTTAGCAATCGCTCGAAGGCTAACCATTCATCATAAGTTTACATTCAAGTTTAAATTCATTTTCAATTAATATTACATCCTAATTTATCACCAACGCTACGTTTGCCTTTCTTGAGGATAATAAAAGAGCGTAAGAAACAAATTTGAGATAAATTGTAATTGCAAATGATTTTCAATTTAATTAAACTTCCAAGCTCAAAATTCCAAAAAGAATTGCATAATTATCGATTAATTATCCATAATCAAGCACGTGACAAATAGTTACTCGCAATTAATTCGACGATCTATTTATTCGCTCGGGCAGATTGAGCCGCTCCGTAACTTCGTCGGCAGCGATTTTCCTGAGAGGTGACGCAAATCATCCCATTAGAACGCGCTAATTTTTGACGGATTTGTGAAAAATGAGCGACTTTACGGGGTTATCGGCCGGTTACGCAAACATGTGAAAATCCACATCAGCTCGGCATCAATCATCTTGATTCACGCCTGATATTCTTGGCGGCCTTCGATTCGCCCGAAGGATAATCCTGACTGATACTCCTCAGGAACGGAATCTCTCTCTAGCCGACTATGAGGACACGTTCGAGGATTATGTCGGCTTCTTAAAGTACGAGAACAGCTTCATCGTCGAGTGAAAAAGGACATCTAATCGAATAGAATAATAACAGATATTAGATACTTAATCTCGTATTGGAAAAAGATACTTATTTTTAGAATTTACGAACGATCGCTATCAAGTTTTATTATCAGTAGGTTTTTTATCTATTAGAATTAATATTTTTTAACAGAAGTCTCAGAATCTGATAAAATACGACATATTAAACTTAATATATAAAATATTCTGTAACATGCATAACTTTTGTAATTTTGCTGACAAACTTGCAATCGATCTTACATTTTTCTTTAACGAAAAATGCAAAATCGATTGCGATACTCCCAATTTTTTAATTTTTTACATCTTTATTACTTTAAATCAAAATATTTTTAAAGTCCTTCTATTAAATTAATAAATTTTATTAGCTTATAACTCTATTAACTTTCTTTGCAAAAACTTTTCCAAAAAAAAAAGTTTTTTTTCGTCTATATATAACTTAAACACGAATTCTTTTTATTTTTGCTAAAAAAGATATTCCATATTTCAATCTGTAATTAAAATTAAATGAAAAATGATTAAAGACATTCTTTATATTATTATCCATATGTTTAATGAACTTTGAATTTTCTTAATTAATATTTATGTTACTTATGCATAATGTTAATATAATATTAATAGTTTTGAAAAGTTTAATTTTTTATTTGTTATCTAAGACATTATTACAAACCTAATATATTTCAGATCAGTTTCAAGATCAATTTCTTTATTTACATTTACTGATAAAGTTTTCAATTAGCTGCGGTTGATTCTATACAAAGTTCGACAAGTATCACGTATCGTGCACAAAGCGAAAGCTCTACAAACTTCTCGGTAAAACCCGTTGTTCGGTTCGTAAGCTGCTAAATCCGTTAACTAAATCCTGCTGCTATATTGTTGCAATCTTGCTTGTGAATATGTTACACCGTGCACGTATCGCCATGCGTCTAATTTTCCATGCTGATTATTGTTTGTCCTTTGAATATTCATTATATGTACTTCGTGCGATTCAGACAACTCTCTTTAACATTGAAATCCTTCTGTACACGAAGATCGTTGATAATGCTAATATTGCAGAGAACGTAAAATTTAAGTAAATCGAGTTAAAGTTATACTGATACTACACGTAAGTTTACTCTACAATCTTGAACAGCACTAGTTGTCGGCTTTTTATCTCTTTCCTCGCAACAAAAGAACTTTTCAAAAGAAATTGGATATATTTTAAGTTTGTAATTCACATTTTTCTGTGTACTTTTTTTAAATAATGCAGAGTACATGTTTTTTGTTTCTTAATAAATTTCACATAATCATGTGAACGTGATTTTTTTTCGTTTCTTAGTTAAATGTATAGACTATTGTTAGATATAATTCGACAATGCTTGAAAAATCGATAATAAATAAATATTAAAAATAAAATTAAAAATTTCTACTTTATGACAATTAAGCATCTCTCATTATTGTTTCAGACCGACTACAATCGGCATCTTGAACAACTATTTGAGCGCGTAACGACTTTACTTATCGGGAGTTTACAAACGAAGATAACTATCGACAAATTGGAGCAAGTTACCGAGCTTCATGAACGTCTGGAACAAGTGCGACATTTATTCGGTAAGTAAAATGAGATTCGGAATTCTCGCTACGGAAAAGATTTTCTTTCTGGCAGAGAAAGAGAAATCTGATCTTCTTTATTGGAATGAAATCTAATCACTCGCCGTCCGTTTGCTGCCAGATGAAAACGTTGCCGGTAGGACAATGGAAGAGGAAACCAAACTATTCTTACATAAAATCGAGAAATTGTCGGAATTGGTGTCGGTGATGAAGCTTCGGGAACCTTCTTGCGAATTGGAGCTACAAGATATCGAGTCGAGCTTGAAGAACTTGTCGATTTTCGTCCATCAGGATAAATGCTTGAATGCCGGTGGAAAGTTCGAATGGGTGGACAGTGTGTTAGTAAAGGTATTTCATCGATGACATTTATAAATATTTCTTTATCACGGAAAGCTACATTCCTATTAGAATTTATGAATCTGTTTCATGTAAATACTATGTGTGTACTGCAAGTACTAACATAAACATACATAAACATACAGAGAACATATTGACAGTGTTGCTTTAAATTATTCCTCGTACTTTGTAGTCTCTAAGCTTAATTTAGACACAATTTAGACGCGATATTCTCTACGACGCTTCTCATATTTCACATGCCGCGAACGATAAAGTTGCGCTACTTCGAACTTTACTTCCCGCTAGCTTTCTCAATATTTTAGCCTTGATACATGATAATGTAAATATTGTGAAAGTTTTAATAGAGTCAAAAATTTTGAAAACTTTCTTCACATATGAAACTATTCCGTTTATATATGTCCGTCTCATTGCAATTTATTTTTACTGTATTTATTATATTCATTGTCAAAGTAAAGTGAAAATACGTGACTGAACTGAACGTTCGTTCGAATTAGTCGATAATTTTATAATGAAATATTTTAGATAAATTCTGTCGCAGACACCAAATTTTTTAGCACAATTTTAACTTTTGCTTATGCTTTCAGTTCGAACATTACAGAATCTCGTTTTGAAATCAGCAAAATCTCACTAAGTTTCAGTTCTAAAACAATGTAATAACATACTCATCTTTTAGTGCCTGCAAGACGGTACGTGGTTACTCATCGACCAAGTTAATCTATGTAGCCCTGCTGTATTAGACAGACTTAATGGACTGTTAGAACCAAATGGTGTTCTCAGTATCGGTGAACGAGGCGTTGATAGCGAGGGCAACGTCGTTACTATCAAGCCACACGAAAATTTCCGCTTATTTCTAACCATGGATCCCCGATACGGCGAAATTTCCAGGTAATTTATCTCTCATCAGAAAGTCAGTAATTTAATCGTACAATCCTATTATTATACATGTATTATAAAAAGATTGTAAGATTAAATTATTATTTCACGTCGAAAATGACATATAAGTTCGTAAATTTTTGTATATTTCTCATTTATAATTTATAATATAATTTTTATTTATAATTTATTATTTAATATTTGCCAATATCTGACGTAAGACAAGAAGTATGAAAGAGAAAAAATTATTAGCGAGATAACAATCTTATATTATATAATATATTAAAAATACGCGATAATAATTGTTCACACTCATCATACGATTGCAATGAACGTTCGAAATTAAATTCATAAAATTAGGGATAGTTATGCTAATTACATCGCGATAATAATTTTGCATACTTGTCATTATTACACGCGCGATATAAATTACAATCGATGATTTTTAGAGCTATGCGTAACAGAGGTGTCGAGATTTATATGCTCGGTCCAAAGGAGAACGTCGAGGAGGATGCAATCGATTTCAAGTCGCTGCTATTTAACGCTGGTATTACGAGGTCCGCACATCACGACGCATTACTCGAGATCTACGACAGAATGTCGGAGGAAAATGTCGCTGTGGATCGATTCAGCGCGGTCGATTTATTGCATACTGCGTTCTTGGTGAAGCAACGATCATTGCGTGGATTCCCCGCGAAAGAAGCGCTCAGAAATGCTTGCATCGATGTCTACGTGAAGTCTAGACCATCGCGAGATTCACGATTCAAAGAACGTCTGGTTTCCCTGATCGATGAAACTATCGTACGACATGTCGAACGCGATGAAGAGATCTCAGTGATCGATTTGGATGCCGCTACGTTGAGCGTGAAGAATCTGCAAGACAATTCGGCACTCGTTATTATCAGACAGCAAGGCTTATTGTTGAATGCGGCTGTTAAAATGTATGAGTCGCGTTTAAAATCTGGTCTAGAAAATATCGAAGGAAATATTGTTACAACGAAGTCGTTAAATGACTTCTGCGGTTTTAAAGAGGATGGCAGGTTTACATTGGATGTTGACGTTGCTGACATATTGCCGTACCTTCTGTTAAATTTTTACGAGCACTCTTCTCAAGACGATGCACCACTCAGAAAGAAGTGGATCTCGAAGATGCTGCGACGAAATGCAATATTTGACGAACTTGAGAGGAAGAGCAAGCTAATGGCGAATGCAATCGCGCTGTTTCGTTTCGAACCCGCAAATGTGAGAAGTTCATTACCTTGGGATTTGTGGCAAATTGTTGGAAAGACAATACGCGATAAGGATGATAATACTAGCAGAAATACAAATAAATTATTATTGATGCTATATGCGTACGGTATGATTCTAAAAAATGATGCATCGCATGTGAGGACAAATAAGTTGAAGGATGAAAATTTGTTATCTGTGAAGCAAATATCAAACTTGATTCAAGATTCCAGCTTGATTCTCACCGGTAAACATTTTTATTTAATTTGATGATTATTATTTTAATTAATTGTTTAACTTAATTATATTAGCAATATAAATATATCATATCTTGAATTAAAAAGTGTCACAACTCGAAGGAAATTTTTTTCGAAAAATTATGAAATGTAGTTAATTAAATGTAATATATCGTAGTTAACGGAATATCTCATCTCTAAATCATTATAATAAAATCATTATAATGAATTTTACTTTGAATAAAAAAATGTATTACATAAATAAAAATTTATAATTTTAATTTGTGTATAAAAATACTTTTTTCGACTTATTGTTATTTTTTAATTGTCACTTTTCATTTCAAGATATGATGATTTATTGGACAATTTATTATATCAGGATTTTTTATTTATAGGTAAGTTATCTTCATATTTGAAAGGTGAGCCGCTTATTACAAGTTTCGTAAAGTTCCTTAAAGAAGTAAATTCTTGCATAGACATTGTTTTACATGATACAAACATAAATACTGAAGAGTATGTTGAACTAAGATCAGAGTTGAAATGGTACACGAGATTTGAAAAATTGGGTGAAATGACGCTCATAGATAAAACGAAAAAGTCTAAAATCACGAATTTGGAACAAATTTCTTCGTTGCTGAGAGTGCATTACAAATGGTTGCTAAAGTTTTTACATAAGTTATTCATAATTAGAAAGTCTGTTAAAGAGAACAAAGAAACCAAGAGCAAGATCAAAGAGTTGGGCGTGATTGTAGCCCAGATAAATCATCACATGGAATCGGTGTACGATCCTTTCAAGAAGATATCAAAAAAAATCAAAAAGTACTTGACACTTCCACCGCCTCACTCCTCGAAAATCAGCATGGAAGTATATTCAGGATTGATACAGATAACAAAAGACTTTGATGTGAGGATTGAGGCAGGCAGCATTCTGAAACAAGAGTTAAAGATCATAGCTGTGCAGTTAAAAGACGCGCTAGCGATGAGACAACAAGTGATCTCTTTATGGAATGACGTTTACTTCAATAAACCAATTGACGAAACGACATTGCAGATTGTTCACAAGATAGACGGATTCTGCGATGAGAGTCACATTCGTTTACGAGTTCCTGTAGAAATCGAGAGTATTTTGGACAAAGTACGTTCTCTTCCGGAGAAAGAAATGATGCAGTTGAACACGAGGATACGATTATGGCCGATTTACGAGTATGTGTTCCTGTCGTTTGCCTGTACTCTACAGGGAGAAATGTGTCGAGGAGTAACGATTTCCGGTGTTACTTTGGCGGACTGCCTTGCAAGATTCGCGGATGTGGCCAGTATACCGAGCAATCTGATGGGCTTGTTGAGCGTAATGTCTCGAGTGGAAATCAAGCAGGAATCACAGCTCTTGTTGCTGCCGGAGTTGTTCTGCTGTCTCGCACAATTTGTTCAGCAATCTTATGCTTTCGAGAATACTAGTCGTCTTTTACATTGGTGCGGTATAACAGAGAAAGACATAGAAAAATCAGTAACTTCTTATATTGAACCCAAGGTTTGTATTTTATTCTTATACTAAAATTACTTCTATGATTAATATTAAATTTTAATAGGCAGAAACTTGAACTAAAATAATTATTAAAAGATATTTTATAATCAATATAAAATTATACTTATATACAATTTACTTTTCTGATTTTTATCTTTCAATCTTTCAATTTAATCATTTTTTAAAAACTCAAAATTTCTCTCAAAATTTATTGTTTTATTTATATGTGTTTATAGACGCAGTACTACTTCGGCCGACCTATTCTCTTGAACATAGTACTGCAATTAATGTTAAATAAGACAAATCAAGATAAAGAGAAAAATATTCTTCCCGCCGTCGCACTTGGAACATATGCGGCGCAAGTGAATCAACTGCAGCTGTTAAATGAGATTTTATGGCGCAACAGTATCTCATTGACAAACAAGCGATATAATTCGAGCAGTAGCGATCTAACAACGTTAAAGTTTTACTTACGTTTATATTTGTCCACAATCGACAAAATGAACACCGATCATAACGTGTATGACTTAATCACGGACGTCTTAATAAAGCAAAGCGGAGATCGCAACATTAAAGATGACATTAGAGACAAATTGATAAGTGATTATTTCCTACCAATGGGAAAATTGCATGAGGTGCACGATGAAATAAATAATATCGGTGAGGAAAATGTTCATGAAGGGGAAAATACGCTTCGACGGGGAAAAGCATGGATGATTCTCGGTTATATACAATTGATGCTCTTTGGAAATTTGGATGTTATGGATCCGGTACATAAAGTGGAATTGAAGCTTAAGTACCTGGAAGAAGATATCGCCGATTGTCGAAAGACGATATATGTTACAACGTTGCAGGATCGTATTTTGGGAATGTCAGCGGCAGACGAGCGCAATCATCCGAGATTCGCAGCTATGAAAAACTGCGAGAGTCGCTTGCTAAAGACGAGAAATGATCTGGGTTGTTGGAAAGCGTTCAGATCACCGTCCATCAATTTCACTTCGCTCTACAAAGATTGCGCCGATTTCAGGAACAAAATAGGTTCCTACACATTGGTGGAGAAGCATATAAACAAACTATATGCGAGCGTAAACATGATCAGCCAAGATTATGAATCAGCCAATTTGACAATCGCGGAAACTGCTTTGCAAGAAGCGGAAACCTGGAGTTTATCAGTGCAGCGATTCGCCGAACAAATGAAAACGAAATATCTGTCGGCTTATCCGGACATAATTCTTCCGTTGCTGACGGCGCTAGCACAATTAAATCATGGCGTTTCCATAATGATTAACGAAACCCAACGATTGATATCTCTATATAAAACCGGAGTGACTGAATCCTTGATATATAATCTAATTCGATTTCCGACGATCGGCCGACACCAGGAAAATCTATTAAATCTAAGCGATCTATGCGTTTCTAGAAGTATGAGAAATCTAATCGGTAAAAATTTGCATTCCACGGATGCGTTTGTCAGAATGCAGGAGCAATTCCGAATATTCAAATTAGGTTTGCACGAACTGTACAATTATGTGATTTTGAATAAAGTTTTGACTCCGTCATTATGGCGAGATATGAACGATTTATTACAGCAGATAGTCTTGATCTGGAAACAACAGCAACAAGAGGAAGAGAAACGAGCCGCGGAGAGAGACAGTTTGTACAAGAATAAAATCAAAGATCACAGCGATACATTGACGGAGGAGGAAGAACTTGCCCAGGAAGTTCGTAAACTATTCCCCACGTACCGCGACAAAGATTTTCACGATATAGAGGAGAACTTGCATCCCTCTCTCGATCAAAGGAATGCGTTACCGATCCAATCGGATGAGACAAAAGCGAACTTCAGCGGTCTCATCACTAAGGACGACATCAGAAAGATTCAACAAATCCATTCGAACATCGTAACATCCTTCATTACGGCCAAATGGATATGTAGCAGTTCTGGTTTGGAAAGTTCAACGAATTACGTCGAACCCCTGATCCAAAGGTACAATACCGTGTACGGGATGTTCGATAACTTACTGCCAAGTTTGAGCGAAGGACTTTCTATCGAATTGTACAACAGCTTGAATTTTTTGGTCACTTTGGGATTACAAGCGAGTCAAAAGAGCGCAGAACAGAATACTGGAGAACGAATGAAAACTTATGATTTTTACAAGGACAGCAACATCGAGGAAGTGAAGCAGTGCCTGCCCTTGTGCGAAAGTATCCTGAATCGCGTTGATCAGCTGATGGAGGAATGGCCAGAACATCCCACTCTAAGATCGATACGATGTATAATAGAAAGAATCTACACGTTCTCGATCACTTCGCCTGTTTCCAGATTCCTAACAGGTCTGGAGATACTACGTGATAAAATGCATCAATGGGAGGAGAATGCGCACAGCGGCGTCAGCATGACCGACTATGTATTAAGATTAGAGAAACAGATAATATGCTGGAGGAAATTGGAATTGTCTTGTTGGAAAGGTTGCCTGGATACAACGTATGAGAATCTCAAATCGGACACATCCAAATGGTGGTTCTTCTTGTACGCATTGATTGAGAGCTACATTATGAGATCCGAAAAAAATAAAAATCAGAAAACGGATGATGAGCCCATCACCAGGCAAGAATTGATAGAAACGTTGCAGCGTTTCATGAACGAGTCGACACTCGTCGAATTCGAATCGCGATTGAATCTTCTCTTAACATTCCACTGTCACGTGTATTATTTCAATGATAGTAATAACAAGAACGAGCTTTTAGCCGTATTATGGAACATATATCATTATTACAAACAATTCGTGGACGATGTAAACGCGAAAATTATTGCTTTAAAGATGCCCATCGAGAAAAAATTGAAGGATTTTGTTAAGATCGCGCGATGGAACAAGAGCGACTATTGGGTTGTAAAGGAGACAGTTGAAAAGACACATCGGACTTTGCATAAATTTATAAAGGAATTCCAGAATGCCTTGAAGCAGAACGTATCTTCTTGCTTAACTGTTAAATCGGGACCTTATAATACAGAAATAAACAAATACATGTCGGATGATAGAGAACATCTGGAAGACAGGATAAGAAGACATTCTGAAGATTTTAGCATAGCAATATCTTCGCAATCTATAAACGTGAAAATACGATTCACAAGTGGACTTATCACTAGAACAGAGACGCTGCTGACGAAGGCCAAATCTCTATGCAAGGAAATAATCTTAAAAAATTCTTATGATCACGTACGATTAGAACTTGAACATTTCATCGAATATTTCATGAATCAAAGCGCAGATCTTCGGAATATGAATATTGACAGAAGTTTACCAAAAGGTAAGCAAAAGTCTCAGGCGAAGAGTTTCTTGCAGCAGAAGAAAAGGATGCTCGATGATTACTTCAAGAAGTTGGCTGAAATAGGCATACGCTATCGCGTTGGTGTACTGAAGTTGAAAAACGACGTGGACAAAGTGATAGACTTTACGATATCACCTTTGGATCTGTCTACAATTGGCCGGTACTTTAGACTAAGGGAAGCCGATCAGAGTCTGCTAACGCAGTGGAATGGCTGTGAGAAGTATTACTACAAATCTCTTATCAGGCTGAACGCTCTCAACGCAATGCTTAACAGATCCCAAACCGATCTGGGATTGCAAAACAGAGATCGATGCCGAGGATATTCTGCGCACTTGATGATGATTGCCCACACACAGAGAACAACAATTGTCCAGTTGTTTAATCATTTTTCGTCGCTTCGCATACAGCTTTCAAATCTGTCCGAAATACGCGAACAGGATCTGAATATGCTGAGACAGAATAAGGGCCAGTATTGCGTGGAAAAGCTGAAAACGTTACTGATTACATTGGAAGTTGGATTCGAACAGCTGTTACTATTTTTGCAATGTTGTCCCGCGCAATCGTCGACAGATCCGAATAGAGCCGCGCTTACATTGAATGCAAATGCACTTCCTATAATCGCCGCGTCTCAAAACGATGAGATTTGGAAAAATGCGAACGCTTTATTGAAAAACAACTTAACTTCAGTAAAAGCTATCGCGAAACATTTCCATGCATTGTTCGTGCCGTTCGAAATCTTGTCGGCAGATCGTTCTACATGTTCCGCTCATATTTTATTTTTAAGTTCGAAACATTTTGAATTCTTGGAGCAATGCTATACAACAATCGAAGATTTAAGAGCGCGATCTAAGAAATTAAAACATATGTTTGAGAGTCTAGACGTTGCGCATCCTATCTGTGAAAATATAGCATTCTTAGACACGAAGATGGAATGTTTCCTTCAACTCTTTGAAAACTTGCGAAAATTCGCGGATGTCGAAGATGAAGCGCAAGAATTAGAGGAAAAGAATCAAGCTATCGAGCAATACGAATTAATGTTGGAACAACTAATAAACGCGACATTACTTGTAATACAGAAGAAATACAAAGAACATTTTCATATTAGAGAAAAAGAAAATGCACCATTCATGATAAATGAGAAATCAAACGAGAAAATTTTCGAATTTCTCGAACAGGATATAATGGATCTAAAGCTTTCTGATATATACAATTCATTTTTCAATCTTTTACTAAAGATACGTGAATTTGATCTGCGATCAGCAAACTATTGTATTAGGTAAGAATTATTTTATTATTTAATATTTTCAGTGGTGTTCAAGTGATGCTACAATATAACGTAACGTTTCTTAAAAATCTTGTTGAAAGGAATAATTTTTCCGTAAATAAAAATGATGTTAAAATTTTATCACTATGAAATATTGATAAAAAAGAAATCTGTGTATTCTATAAAATAAATTAATAAATACATATTCTTATTTCTTTCAGATTGCTCCTAAAATGTGCACCTCTATTGGAACAATATATCTTGTTCGTTCAATTTTATTTAAATGAACAAGTGGCGTTGTTCCGTATTACATGCAAGATATTATATCTACAATTAAACGTATTCTTAGATCTGGCTGCAAATGGTTTCTGTGTGCCAAAGGATTTAGATCTCGAGGAAGGCGAGACAGATGAATCCGGCGAAAAGACAGAGAAAGGAGGAATGGGTTTAGCTGATGGCGAAGGAACGAAAGACGTTTCTGATAGAATAGAATCTGAGGATCAACTTGAGGATGCAAGGCCTGCGGATCAAGAACAGGAAAAACAAGACGATAAGAATTGCAAAGAGGAGGAAAAGGGAATTGACATGTCTGAAAATTTCGACAGTAAGCCTCAAGATATAGAAAACAACAATGATGATGAAGAACAGAGCGACGATGACGAAGAAAATGATTTGGATAAAGAAATGGGAGAGACAGGAGAAGGAGCTGAACAGCTTGATAAAAAAATCTGGGACGACGATCAGGAAGAATCCGAAGAGGATAATCAGGAATCGGAAAAGGAAGATGAAGAAGGCACAGGTGAGCAAATCGGTGAGGAGGAAATGGGTGCGAAAGATGACAGAAATAAGAAAAAACAGGATGATGATACGGATGATGAGGATCGACCTAAAGAGGAAAATAAAAAGGAGATAAACGAGTTGAATGAGCCACAAATAGATGAAGATCATAAAAATCCTTATCACGGTAAATTTCAACCTCAACCCGAACCCGAGCCGCTTGATCTACCAGAAGACTTGAATCTGGATGAAGACGGTAAAGAAGACAACGGTAGTGAAGAACAAAATCCGTTTGACATTGATGAAATGAAGAAGCCGCCGCCAGAGAAACAAGATATAGAACTCGAGAAAGAAATTGAGGAGACTAAAGAAAGTGATCCTGAAAACTCTAGCGAGAACGAGGACGAGAATGAGAATGATAATGATGATAAAGAAAATCAGTCGCGAAAAACAGAAGAAGAACTCGAAGCTAATAAGGAAGAAAAAAGTGGGGAGAATGCGGAAGCCGAAAATAAAGATGAAGAGCAAAATCAAAATGAAAAAGCAGAGGAGGAAAAATTGCAAGAAAAGGCAGCGCCGAGTGCAAATGATGCGAGTGAACAAATGGATGCTGCGCAACAAATAAATGAAACGACGGAAGGTTCGCGAGACGCGGTAGCACAAAAGCCGGACGTGAAGGATCAACAGGAAACTTCAGCCGAAAATACTCAAGAAGATAATAACGATAAGGGCACTGGACAATCACAATCGGCACAACAGGAGAGTGGACATTCAGGATCATCTAAGCAGGAAACTGTTCCAGCACCGCAGAGCAACATTACGACAAAACCAGAGAAAAGAAAGAATCCAGGCGAGAGCAATGAAGACCGCACTCTATTGGATAGACCTGAGCCAAAGTTAAAGAAATTGAAGACGGTTTATACGCTGGACGAAGTCTCAAGAAACGAGAAGGAAGATGATGTAGGCAACGATAATAGCGATAAGACTGAAATAGCTCAACACATCAAAGATTCTGAAAAATTCGATGATTACACACTCGACGCTGCGACAGAGGATCAAGTCAGACAACAAGCTTCTAATATGGATAAGGATGAAAATGAGGAAGAAGAAAAAGATGATGTCTCCGTGGATATGGAGATGCACGAGGATGAGAAAAACGACGTAACAGATAATAAAATAAATGAGCAGAAACCTGAAAAGATCTCCGAGAGTGGAGACAATAAACGCAGAAGTGATTCCGATAAAAGGAACAATGTAAAAGACAATCAAATGGAGACAACGGTCGAAATAGAAGGTGAAATAGTGGCGACCATGATAGTACAGAGAGGAAATGAATCTACATTTCACACGACGGAATGCAATTTGGAATTAAATGATCTTGGCTCTGGTTGTATAGAAAGAAAGCGATTCGAGGTAGAAAAAATGTTGAGCGAATGGACGCAAGTTCCATCTACAGAGGAAGCTACAGCCGCGTGGAATTGTCTGTGTTCAGTCACCGATACAGCCGCTAGGGATTTATCGGAAAAATTGAGACTGGTATTGGATCCCACACAAGCATCAAGATTGAAGGGTGATTATAAGACAGGCAAACGCATCAATATGCGTAAAATCATTCCTTATATAGCCAGTCAATTTCGCAAGGATAAAATTTGGCTCAGGCGTACAAAACCGTCGAAACGTGACTATCAGATCATCCTCGCGTTGGACGATTCCAGCAGTATGGCAAATAGCCATTCTAAAGAATTGGCTTTCGAGTCTCTGTCGTTAATTAGCAAAGCTATGACTTATCTGGAAGTAGGACAACTTAGTGTCGTAAGCTTTGGAGAACAAGTGAAAGTATTGCATCCTTTAGGAGAAACTTTCACAGAACAAAGTGGATCTAGGTATACCTTTATCTTTATTATATAGACATTTGATATTTAATTAAAAATAAATTGATATTAAATCGATATCTGATTCAGAAGATGAAACGAGATTAGAGAACGATATTAATTTTAACGAATTTGATGTGCGATGTTCGATGACAGAATTCGCTATTGATTCGCTATTTTATACATTTAAATTCGTCAATCAGATATCTTGACTTAGTTAATCTTACATAAGTAATATGATCCTATTTTTACTTGGTAATGTAAAAAATTGGGATTACTTCACGATTTTTTTGTTTATAGGCTAATACAAGAAATAAGGTTTGATCAAGAAAAGACGATGGTTAGTCAGTTACTCGATTTTACAGTGGACATGTTTGAGAGTCAATATGCCTCATCCGACAATGCTAAACTGCTGCTAATACTGTCAGATGGCAAAATATTTTCAAACGGAAGAAATGAAGTGAATCGTGCTGTCAGAAGAGCCAGACTTGCAGATATCTTCTTAGTATTCATAATAGTTGATAATCCAGTTAACAAGGTAATTTTTAATATCTCAAAATCATTATATTATTAATAATTGTCACAATAATAATCCAACTTATTGTTAGTGTATGAAAGATATCAGCATATTAAAAATAATTATTAAAAATCAATGTTTTATTTTTCAGCATTCAATATTAGATATCCGTAGGCCTATATTTGGGGAAGGAGGAAAATTATTAGAATTTCGATCTTATTTGGACGATTTCCCATTTCCATTCTATATGATTCTTAGAGACATTAACACATTGCCAGGTGTTTTGAGTGATGCCTTACGTCAATGGTTTGAAGTAGTTGGGAAAATTGATACCTAAGCTAATAAATGTATAGTTTCAAACAATCAGTCTTTTATAATATTTATAAATATTTAATATGTGAGTAAGAACTTCACGTTGACGGTAGCGACGTACTCTCGTGGTGAAAAATAGAAGCTCATTCTTATTCATCTTATCCTTATCCTTGTTTATCTTTACATAAGTGACGTGTGGACAACGAAATTTTTTATTGCGGTTATTTTCGTTATGTTCTTAATCGTGCAGATGTGACTTTGTTTTAAAAACGAACGGCAACTAAAATTATCTTCGAACATTATATGTAAAAGCATTTTTTCTTCTTCCAACAGTTATCAAATCGTGTGTTTTCTGCCTAAACAGGCTTCATTTTACGTGCCTTTTACAACTATTTATTGATTATCAGGAAGAGAAAGGCTAGCAGGCGCTCATTTTCATAAATGTCTTAAAGCCATATCAAGTATTATTTTAGTCAAATATCTTCTTTATTTGCAAAATTACCGTAATAAACTTTAGTGTCATTTCTTGCCTATGACGTCACTATTCCAATCGCCGTGGTGACTACTCAGGAGCCTTAAAATCAGTTTAAGAATTATAAAAATTGAAATTTAATTTAAGTTAATAAGACAATTGTATTTACAATATGTATATGCGCGCGCGCGCGCACGCACACTCATACATAATATATGTAGATATACTTGTAATTTAATTTTACTTCTTATTTAGTAAAGTTTATTGTGTATGTGTATATACATATATACATGCACATTTTTCAAATATATCAAAATTGTAATTAAAAAAATACAAATATTTTAATAATAAAAAAATACTCTTAATTAATCATGAAAACTTACCATTTTTTTATTTAAATTAAAATAAATTTTATAATGTTGCGTATTGAATTAATTACATATTGATTAAGATGAAAGGGTAAAATTAAGATTGTCATAGAACTGAAATTAATTCTAATTTCTATTCTTATTTAATTTTATCATTGCTGAAATAATATGTCATCATATTCACTTATATTAATCAAATTTTTATGTAGAAGTTAATTATAAGAATATATTATTTCACACACACACACATACACATACGCACATACATATATATACACATTTGAAATAGTCTGAATTATTGTTCTAATATAAATTACTTAATTTATAAGTAACATATTAATATTAATACATAGGATGTTTCAAAAGTAGAGGTCAGTCGCTCGAAAGGTAATCAGGGACCTCAAAAACAATCAAAATTCCAAGAATGCATTTGTGCATCCTAAATAGTGCATCCTAAATGCTAAAACAGCCTGTAATTTTTATTTAACTTTAATTATGTTATCAAACTTATACAATTTCTTCTTTCAATTTTGATAAAAAAAATTCAAAAGCAATTTCAAATAAAAATGGATAACTTGAAAATAACTTTATGATTTATGTTCAATTTTTTTTTTTTATTTTCAAATTCTCATTCATTTCACGAATGATTGACCTCGACTTACGGAACACTCTGTTTATTCCATTCAACACTTTCATTCTCAGTTAATTATGTAATATACTGCTTGCATCAAAAATTCAATTATTTTGTACTAAACTCAACCAACTCCTGCCTTCTCCATCCACAGAGGCCGGAAATCTTATCTGCACTAACCGCACATTTTTGTCTTCTCCCTCTTTAAATGATGAAGTTGCGGGTACAACTATTGTATCACTCTCCTCATTTCCGTTATAAGTGTACACTGCTTCTACTTGATCAGTAGTTTCAGTTTTGCATGTTATAGCTTCATCCTCTGCAAAATTTATCTACAAAAAATATGACATTTAATTCAGTAAGTAGATGTTATGACAATTTTAAGGGATACTGTTATCTACCTGATTCTCAACGACAAGATGTTCTACTTCGCCACTCACAGTTTCTGCTGCTGGTATATTTAAAACAACATCCTCTTCATTGTACATCTGTTCTTCACCTTCTTGTTGTATGATCACATGATCTTTCAATTCGGTCACATACAACTCAGTTTCATTCAACTAAATGAATAAAATATACATATAATCCATGTAATAAAATCACACACAATGTACATTCCACAATTACATGCAATAAAATAATTATTCGTATTTTTAAATCAAGAAATATATTAGATATTTTCTCTATTAGCAAACATTTAAAATAAAATAAACATTTACAATAATATAATTTATATAGTGTTATATTAGTATAAACATTTAAAATAATATAATTTATATATATTATATTTCTTATATAAAAAGTCATGTACCTGTTCATTGTCAACTTCTTCCATCAGTAGTTCAGTATTATTATTAGGGATAGTTATTACTTGATCATCTTCTGTTGTCAATCGCGGTTGATTTACTACTATTGTATCATTTAAATGACCCTAATTAATTATAATTATTATAATTATGTATTATATTGATAGTAGAAAATTAAATATAACAAAAATAAAAAAGAAATAAATAATGAACTCGAATATTTTCTCATATATTACCTGCATTTGCATATGTGCATAAAGCAATGGTTTTCTCATAAAGCCCAAGCCGCAGACCAAACATTCATATGGTTTTTTATCACTATGTATAAATCTATGAGCGTTTCTGTTATCTCTACTATTGAATGCTTTACCACAAACCTAAAACAGAACTTTTATGAATACAAAATCGCAAATTAAACATAAAAAAAAATCAATTCAATGAGAGACAATTAAAAAAAAAAATAGCTTTTAATGAAAATTTTAAAAGACATACCTCACAAAGATATGGCTTCTCGCCTGTATGTATACGCCTATGTTTCTTGAAATGTTCAGGATAGACAAACGTAGCTGTACATACGTCGCATTTGTATGGCCTTTCACCAGTGTGTGCTGCTTTTATATGATAATCCAATAATCTTCTTCTTTTAAAACCTTTTCCACAATCATCACATTTGTAACGTTTATCATTATAATGTGTCGCTCGCTTATGAGATTGCAAATTCGATCTCTGACTATAAATGACAATATCGTTTACAAGCAATTAAGCATAAAGAATTATTATTTCATTATAAGCTTCTTACTTTTCATCAAATGCTTACCTAAATGTTGCTCCACAGAATTCGCATTGATAAGGTTTTTCACCTGTATGAGTTCTCTCATGATCACGTATTTCCGCTTTACGTGCAAATGCTTTACCACATATTCTGCATATAAAGGGTTTATATCCAGTATGTACTACATTGTGTACTTCTAAATTGTGAGATGAAGTAAAAGCCTTACCTTTAAAAAAGATGGTTGTTAAAAAGCAAATAAAAATGTTAACATAAAATTAAATTAAATATAAAAATATTAAATATTAATTATATGTAATATTATTAATTATATTATAAATCTTACCGCATTGATGGCATACATATTCCTTTACGCCATTATGCGTTCGTTCATGTTGAGTTAAATTTTGCTGGCTCAAAAATGTTTTGTTGCATTGAGAGCATTCGAATGGACGAGGTCGTACTTCATGTGTTTTTACATGTGCTTTATATGTATATTTAGATGCAAAATCTTTGTTGCAGGTCTCACATACATACGGGCGAACACCGGTATGTGTGTTCATGTGTTCATCTAACAAATTTTTGGAACTAAAATGAAATAAAAAATATATAAATTATCCTATTCTTGTTTCTTATTTTATTTATATGTATAATTTTATTATTTTCATTATAATACTGTACTTGTATCTCTTTCCACATGTATCACAGGGCCATGATTTCACTTGTGGATAATGTATTCTTTTATGAATCCGAAATAATCGCAGGTTGCTAAATATTCTATTACATATCTCACATTGAAAATCTCCTTCTTCCTTTGCAACATGATCATCAAGATGCAAAGAAAGCTCGTTTCTCTTCCTAAAATCTTGTCCACATACATCGCAAATATATAATCGAATATCATGTACATCTTTCATGTGTCCTATAATAGTTTTTGCATCTCCGGCGACTTTTTCTTCTTCATTTGAACATAAAGAACAAGTATATAAAGATTCCTCTTTAAATACAATCTGAAAAAATATACAAGCCATATATTACTATAATTATTCTTATAATTATTATTATAATAATTCTATATTACTACATTCTATATTACTAACAATAATATTACTATAATAATTCATATTATATATCATATTTTTTATAATTTGTGCAGCAAGAACATGAATTAATCTATACATACATTTTCCTGAGGGCTATTTTCTTTAATTTTGTTCTTCTTCGATTTTTTTTTCTCATCAGAACTATTACTTTCATCTACTTCTGTAAATAAACTGTCATCTTGTTCAATCAGCATATCTTCTTCTTCTTCTTCTTCTTCTCCTTCTTCTTCTTCTTCTTCCTGTTCTTGCTTATTCCTCTTTATTTTAATATTTTTAGTTTTTTGTATTTCCTAAACATTATTAATACAATTATATATTATCGAACTGTAACTGTATGATAATCAATTGATTTTTGCTATAAATTTTATATAGCATTTTTACCTCTATTACAGTGCTTTGATTATCTGCGTTGTCTGTATAATCATGATCGTTATATTCTTCTTCATTTTGAAGTATATCACATAGTTTCTTAACTTCAATTGTCTTTTTATAATTACTACGTAAATCTATTTTGATTTCATGTAATTTATTTTCAAGTTCATCCACCTAAAATTATAACATATCCTTAATCAAAAGAACTACTTGAAAGGTAATATTATATGTTGCCTTACCTCATTGAACAATTTAAAACATTTTTTACAGATGACGAGAGAATGTACAGAGTTTTCATTTATATCAATTTCTAAAACAGCTGCTATAACATGCGCAAGTGGTTTCTCAGATGAAGTGCAACTAGAATCATTGAAGATGCGTACACTGTTTCTACTGGATACTGCAATTTTACTATTGCACACTAAGCACTGTGTGCAATCCTTATCAGAGTCAGCCGTCATATTTTACTGCTGTAATTAATATATTCTATTATTAGTAATTTTAAATTTAAATATATAAAAATTTGAAAATTAAATTTTAAATATATCTGAAAATTTTGTATTATTTCTTTATCAATATCAAAACTTTTAAATAATAAAAAAAAAGTCATATTTCTTTCTCAGAGTGTAATTAATTACTTTGAAACCTCTCATGTTATTACTTAAATATATGTGTAAGTTATATGAGCTTCTTAGAAGTCATACTGATCCATCTTTTTTAAATTTCTTAATTTTAATATATTACATGATTAAATTATAATTTCTAATCAATTTTTTTATTATCACAAATTTATTTAGTTTTTGAAAAATTCATGTCGCTTTCCAATGTCTTATAATAAGCAAAATATTAACTATGCTGACATGTTATTAGCAGATTCAATACTAAAATGTGATAGATTAGCATCAATTACGTCCATATTAAGTTGCATCTATAAAAAACAGTTGAGATGATCTAATTTAATTACATATATGTGGAATATAAAATACATAAAATTTAACTATATATATAAATAAAAAATATTTAGATTTTGCTTTATAAGTTTCCACCTAAAATTATAAAATTTTAATATAGATCATATACAACGATGAAAAACAAACCTATATAATTCTGCTTCGTCAACTATTTAATATAAATTATGATAATCTATGTAATTGGCAAGTATGCCAAAGTAATATTCGTCCTTGTCGGCACGTTGCGTAAAAAATCGACGTTTACCCGCTTATCCATAGGCCTATTCTTTTTAACTTTTTTGTATTTTATCTATCCTCTTTATCTTTCCACATCGGAGAGAAAAAAAGAGAAAAGACGAACGGTGCAAGAAATTCAGCTAAAAAGAATAGGCCTCATATCATAATTTCTTTCTTATCTTTGTTTCAAATACATATCTATTTTATTTTAAATGGTAACGTGCGTTATATAAAATTCAGGTATAAAAAACGGCCTATATGATTCTCGAATTTCTATATTCACATTTCGAGCGATCGCAAGTTAAGCGCCAGGCGCGTTGCTTGGAGACGCGAGTACGACTCGTCGGCATAGGTCGCGGGGCGCACTCGACGCGGGACACGGCTGACGACGGCTGACCCAGCTGTCCCGCCATGTTGCGTCGAACGCGATCGTCGCCGACGAGGCCCGGAGCGTTCGGAGGCTCTGGCTGCACGTTCGGACGACCCCACGTTGGACCGCGCGGTCGCTGTCGCACAATTCTCCACGAGCATTCGAGCGTGAGCGTGTGTGCCATGCGAGCAGACGCGGCCGAGACGGCTGGGACGCATGGCATAGCCGTATCAAGTGCAATTGGATGTAATAACGATAAGACGTAAAAAGTTGCCAGCACTGACTTGAAATTTTCATTCCCCGATGCGGACGATTGGCAGCGAGAGAGGAGCCAGGCAGCCGAGCGGTGTCTGTCGATGGCTGTTTCGCAGTTTCGAGGAGATGACGATCGGGCTGGACGGGCTGTCGCGACGTCGAGAATCCTGAAAATGGCGACGTATTTGTGGTGCCCGCGCGTTTTCACTACCCGGCGGGGCAGAAAGAATATGAGACATCACGTAGCGTCGCGCGCGCCATCTGCAATGACGACGCGCTGGCCATTTGTCGCTCGATACACAATGCAGCGAACGATTTACACACAATGCAGGCCCGATTAACGATATTTTGTCTTTAAACTTTAAATTTGTTGCATTAAAGCAAAAGCAAAACCTAAAATGTTTTAATTTGCACTAATCTTAATAAACTAAAAAATTAAATCATTTTAGGGTTGTAGCATTTGTTTCTTTTGCTTTTGTATAATAAAATTTAAAGTTTTAAGTCTCAAAGCCAAAATATTATTGATGGCCTTAAGCCCATATTCTAAATTCTCTTTTAAAGATGACTCTAGAAGTGACTTATGAGTCTTCTGATTGACTATACCCTTTAGTCACTTTTATCACTGAAAGGAGATTCAAAATATGGGCTGTCATTGCTATTTTATTCGATTCGAAACAGATTTGGATGAAAATATTAGGACAGATTCTGATAATTAAATAGTCGGTTGATGATATATTTACGAGATCAAGAATTTCAAATTTTAAATGCGAGAATAAAAATTTACATATATGCTTTAAGAATCACACGACGATGCCGCGTCATGTGAAATTTTAAGGCAATTTTCATGTAACTTACTCCACAACTGAATGAAGACAAATATAATCTGATCTGATAGTAATTAAAATTTCAGATATATTATTTTATGTGCCTCAACACTTCTTAGCTGATTTATCCTCATCTACTTTGCAATATATCAATTATCAATTGTTGATGGATTAAACTTGAAATATCAGTTACTCAACAATAACAATTATTCTAATATATATTATTACGCCAAATTATGCAAGAGACGAAGAAAAATATATTTTTTGAATATCCCTATCGTAATACCTTTCAAAGTACAATATCATTTTTATTCACTTTAATTCAAGGGAATCGTTTAATCGAGTTCAGTAGATTTGAATCCAAATTCAGTTAAGACTATCCAAGCATTCAATTGACACTGATTAAACTCGGGACTCGATATGATTCTTCTTCTGTTACATCACAGATATATTATCGTGTGTCAAAAGGAAACGGCAGATCGCTGCTAGAGTTGGCCGATATTCTGAATTGTGCGGACGAAAAACGGGCGTAGCTTGGCCAGATTGGATTTAGCGAACACGTGTGAAGTCGCATGCCGATCACAGTCGTGTGGAGGCGACCACGTTCGGTCAAATGAACAAAAATGAATCGATGAGCAGATACGGGCCTCTCGTCGGCGCGATCGACGAGGGCACGAGCAGTGCGAGATTTCTGGTACGAAGAATTCTCGTTTCACGGTGTTGTCAGCTATCGTCACGGTTAATTACTGTGAAATCGTAATTTCGGATGTATCCGAGGATATATGTTCACTGCAACAAATCGATTTTTCTTCCCAAGATATTCGTGCATCTGATCAAATAAATGACACTTTAATTTATTGTTAAAGTTTGTATTGAGAATGTATTAAAAGCTTAAAGTGCTTAATTAGATTTTAATAATTAATGTGGATTTGTCAAAAGAGGCTTATGTTTACATCTTTTGCTATTTGTCATTAGATTAATATTATTTTAACATGACATTATAAAATATATATGCATATTTATACATACTTTCTTTATTACAATAATACAGGTTTTTGCAGCAGATACAGCAGAAGTTTTAACATATCATCAAGTCTCAATATCACAGATATGCCCAAAAGAGGGATGGGTTGAACAAGATGCTTTAGAAATACTGAGAGCAGTTAGGGAATGCCTTAAGCAAACTGTATTTAATTTAAGACAATTGACGATAGATCCAGCTGACATAGTTGCAATTGGTATAACAAATCAGAGGGAAACTACAGTTGTATGGGATTCCGTAACAGGAGAACCACTTTATAATGCTATAGGTAAAGTTGCTTTATTATTAATATCATAAATATTTTCCATAAAACGTTTGTAAAAATATTAATTTTTATAATATATTGCAGTATGGATGGATATGAGAACCACATTGATCATGGATGATATATTGAAGGATATACGTAATAGAAATAAGAATTATTTAAAACCGCTCTGTGGTCTGCCGATTAGTCCATACTTTAGTGCATTAAAATTAAAATGGTTGTTAGAAAATATACCTCCAGTTCAAGAGGCATTAGCCAACAAACGTCTCATGTTTGGTACCATCGATTCCTGGCTAATTTGGGTTTGTTCGCACAAAGCAAGCCTAATACAAAGATATTTTTTTTGTATTGATGTTTATATTGATTAACATACCAGTTTTGTAATTAGAATTTGACTGGTGGTGCCAACGGTGGTGTTCATAGCACAGATGTAACAAATGCTTCGAGAACAATGTTAATGAATATCATGACATTGAAGTGGGATCCTACTCTGTTGTCATTTTTTAAAATACCTGCTGAGATTTTACCTCAAATACGAAGCTCCTCTGAGATTTATGGTTATATACAAGATGACTTGCTACAAGGTGTTCCTATATCAGGGGTATGCAATTCTGTATAGTTTAGATATTATTTTATTAAGTTAAAGATATATCAAATAATATGTATCAAAATATCAAAAACAAGAATTTTGTTAATAGTTTAATTCATTAAATATTTATCATAGTGCTTAGGTGATCAACAATCGGCTTTAGTAGGACAGATGTGTCTACAACAAGGACAGGCGAAAAGTACTTATGGCACTGGATGCTTTCTTCTTTATAATACTGGCACAGCTGTAAGAAAAATTTTTATACATTGTTACAACATTATAGATATATTGGGATGAATATAAATTTAGATGGATAAAATTTTCTTTAAATAGATTGTGGATTCATCCCATGGCTTATTAACGACGGTTGCTTATCAATTAGGAGCGCATGCTTCTCCAGTGTATGCTCTTGAAGGTTCTGTAGCTGTCGCAGGTGCCGTTATACAATGGTTGAAGGATAATCTTGGACTATTAACTGATGTAAAAGACTGTGAAACTATTGTTGAACAAATACCCGCGGACAATCATATTGTTTTTGTACCAGCTTTTGCTGGATTGTATGCTCCATATTGGAGGAAAGATGCACGAAGGTAACCAGTTTTATCAATATAATAGAAACATTTATAAATATTTTGTAACAACATCTGCAAAGGTCTACACATTTTTTCAGTGTTATATGTGGTATTAGTGAAAATACTAATAGCGCACATATTATAAAGGCAGCTATGCAAGCAGTATGCTTTCAAACGAGAGATATTTTGGAAGCTATAAAGCAGGACACTGGCTTAATGCTTTCAAAATTGTTGGTTGATGGTGCAATGACTAATAACAATTTATTAATGCAAATGCAAGCGGATATCTGTGGAATTCCAGTGGGTAGGTAGAATATTTCTTCAAATTTTGGAGAAATATATATATATATATATTATTGGACTCAAAGTTAAACATTTATATTATTTTTATACCATTTTTATACGAAAGTTAGGCCATTAATGTGTGAAACTACCGCGCTTGGAGTTGCAATTGCTGCAGGAAGCGCAGAAGGAATAAAAAAATGGGATGTAAAGAGTGATGCTGCTGTTCCCAGTGATATCTTTTTGCCATCAATAACTGAAAATGGTAATTATCAATAGTGATTATTATTTGTGATAAATGTAAAAATTTTATGATATAGAAAGATTATGGAAATATATTAATTTCAGAACGTGATATTTTATATTCTCGATGGAAAATGGGTATTGACAGAAGCTTAGGTTGGGAGTCAGAATTTCCACAAATAACAAATGGTAACTATTAACAATAAATATTAATAATAAAATTGTTATGCTAATAAATTTTAATTATATTAATAAATTTAATCTCTAGATGATACAGAAGATATACATAAAGCTACTGCGCCTGGTGTATTTATAATTGGAACTATAATACTGCTTATAGTTGCAAAGTATAGATCTACTTTGTAATAAGTTTGTATATACAATACTGTGTATTGTATATTGCATTTAGACAAAATCTGCTTATTAATATAATTGAAAGTAGGGTTATTTTACAAATATGATACATTGCTTTATCTAAATTATTTATGTAATATAGTATTTATGAGTTAAAAAAGAGTCAAGAATAAAAAGTGCCATAAGATTGTAAACAGTTTTCAGATTTATTAATGTAGTATTAATAAGAGCTTTTTGAAAATTGTTTTTTAGCTTTCTTTTATTTTGTTTTTAACAACTTGATTTTATAGTGTTTCATTAAATAAACTTTATATCTTTATATTTAAGTCAGTTTTTTTTATTTCCGTATTATCTTGGACAGCAATATCTTCTGATTTTTCGTTTTCTTGAAAAATAGCAGGAGTAATTGATACTATACATTCATCGAATATTTTGGACTCTTTAGTTGCAGGCATTGTAGATAATACTCCCTATAATAAAGATATAATAAAGTGCAAAGCTCATTCTTGAAATGATATATATAAACTAATATATATAATATATATATATATATATATATATATATATATACTATATATACCAATACTATACGATAAATCTGCCACTAATTGATGTTTGAGCAACGACAGATGTTTCAAGCCAAGCATCACTTCTTATATTATTGATACGTAATCGTGCAGATTGAGGTACTAATATACGGGTGATGAGAAAGCGACATGACTGAGATACCTTAGGACGTTTAGGAAAGATCACTTTGTTTTGGACTTGCTGAATGAAGAGAGGAAGGAATGGACTGTATTAGAGAAAGATGACAACATGAAATGTAGTCACTTACAAGGATAAAATATGTAAGAAATAATAAAAATATTCTATTGGTATTTTTATATTCAACATAAACACTTATTATCTTTTATCTCTTATTCTTATATTTTATACAATAATTAAATTTAAATTTATCCGATATTATATGATCTATGTTATTTAAAAAATAATTTTATTTGCTTAATAATTTTATTTAACTGTACATGAAAAAGAACATGCGAAAGGTTGGAATCAACTTGAGTATCTGTTGAGTACACCGGTCTTGGCATATACCTGGGTACCTTTAGTAGCTGCGAAAAATTTGTATCGTCAAATGGCAGCCGACCATAAACCATAGCGTAAAGCACCACACCCATCGACCATATATCAGAAAGCTGAGGCTGATAAGGGATGCCACGTAGAATTTCAGGCGATGCATAAGCATAACTGCCGCAATAAGTTGTGCTGAGAGGCCACTCGCCATTTTTTTGCTTCATCTGGCCACGTGCAAATCCAAAATCAGACAATTTGATGTTGAAACGATAATCCATGAGCAGATTCTCGCACTTTATATCTCTGTAAGAATTTCCAACAAAATAATTATAAACATTGATCTAATTCTGAGCAGGTTTTTCGACGCAAAATTTTTCTCAACGTTATTTTATATCTTTTAACGTGCTCTAAAACGTGCTCTATCTTTTAACGTGCTCTAAAATCTTACTTTCTCAATTATAATAATTATATTTCCCTTTACCTATGTACTATGCCATGCTCATGGCAATAATCAATAGCTTCCAGGAGTTGTCGGAACCATCTGCGACTACGTAATTCGTCGATATAAGTATCACGTCGTATAATATCGAGTAGACTGCCATTCTGCGCGTATTCCATAATAATGTATACTCTAAAAAATGTAATCGATTTAAGAAAAAAAAATGTGTGTAATCAAAATCCGATTTTGCAGAATAAATTCGTCTCCATTGCTCCTAATATATCCATCTATGGAAGCTAGGATTAATTGATGTCACTTGGAAGATAGACCAACCGATGTGTAGTTTCTATTGCCTGCAGAAAGTGAATCAAATTCGGATGTTTTAATCCTTTGACCACCTCGATCTCGCGGGGCAGAAATTTCGTGAGATACTCTCCGGGCGCATGGAATTTTGAAACTATTTTCACCGCCACTTGGCAGTCATGTCGATCGGATTTCGCGATCTGCACATATACACGTATACAATAAAGATATGTGGAATTAAAAAATTTCAAAAAAAAAGGAAAGAAGAATTTATGATTACTTTGACAGTGGCGTAAGATCCAGAACCTATAGTCTTTCCGAGAGCATAACCATGCGATTCAAGCACTGTCAATTTCTTTTCTTTTTCACCGTTTTTCTCATTTACCGATCTCATACTGGGCAGTTGCTCATTCGACATACATTTTATTATCGGTACCGTCGCCATTTCTGGCGAAAATAAGCTTTTTGACTACAAGAAAAAAGTTTAAAATAAACTACGAGTTAACAAAATTCATTCTCCAAACTAATGTTCTAATTTATTCAAAACTAATTGTAATTTATTGAAATCTAAAGCAATTGATTTTTATAGAAGAAATAGATATGGAAGAAATTGACGATTGGTTAAATAATATATAATGTTTTTTTGTATCCAGCAGGAGTAAATCCTTATTTTGATAAGGGTAATTACCCTAGTAATTTCTTCATATTACTTCAAATAAACGTCTATTTAATGGGAAAGTCATTTTACTTGTCGCATTGAACATTTTGATTTGAACATGAAATTTTCATTTAAATTTGACATTTGTGAACGATAATTTTGAATTTTTGGTATAGGCAAAGGACATATGACAACTGAAGTTCGAGAAGTATCAGAGATCGAAATTTATTATCGATGAAATCGATATTTATTATCGATAATAAATTCGATAATAAATTTATATTCAAAACTCAGAAAGAATTACATTATTTTATGTAGGATACGGTCCACTTGGTGCTATAAATTTTTTTGATTGATCAATTCATAAAATTCTTTGTTCTGATCAATTAATTAAATGCTTTGAAATATATTGAATTATTTAGCATCAAGTGAATCGTACTTATATACTAGTATTTTCAATATTTTAAACAACCTGTGATTATTTAAAATATTTCAATTTAAGTACATAAAAATATTTTTCTTCAAACTCAAAAATAAGAATTCTAAAAGATTCGTATTGTGATGACGAAAAGAAATTTCAGATCATAAGAAATTTTAAAGAATTTTCAGATCGATCGCCTTGATCCAAACTTTTAACAATACATTCTTTAATAAACGGAAATCGAAATTTGCGTTAAATTCCATAACGAAAAGATTTATATTCAAAATTCAGGAACAGTTACATATATTATATATACGAGCCAAATTGAGCATTTCAAACAATCTGTTGTCATTTGAAATGTTTTCATTTCCAAGTGTATCAAAATATTTTAGATCGATGTCAAAGATAACAGTTTTAGGAGATTCATTGTACTGTGACGACGAAAAGAATAAGATTCGGAAAATTTTCAGAGCACATTGGTCGCTTTGCTCCAAACGTTGAATAATAAAGTTTATTGTATTGTTAAGTTTATTGTATTGTAATAAGTTAATACAAATAGCAGATCAATATGACCGATATGATAAATGCATATGAAATGAACGAACATTCCTCCGGGATGGAAAGAACTTCTGAAAGCAATGTTACTGCCTTTAACTTTCTATGCCGAGGTTGTAACAGAGGTATGTGTATCTTTTTTATGAAATAAAAAGGATATCCGTGAAGCTTTCAAAATTTATAGTAGAAAATATAATTATATTTTATTCTTAAACTTATGTCTCTTATAACGATGATATTATATCAATAATCAAAGACTCAATTAATATTTAACGGATATTTAATTTATTATTTGTTAAGTATCGTATATACGATTGTTACTTATTATTGTTACTTATATACTTGTTAAACTTTACAAAATCAAACGTATGTAAATTTATGGCAGATGACAGAAGGGAAAAACTCATACGTCCATGTAACTGCACTGGCGATCGGGAATTTATACACACTGACTGTTTAGAGACTCTAGTCAGAGTTGAAAAGCTCATTCATTGCATACATTGTAGAACTTTTTACCCGCTGGAGTACAAGCGCAAACGATTAATAGAGGTAAAAATTGATAATTGCGATGTTTCTCAAATGAAACAGTTTGAACAGTTCCAACAAGAATTTAATGTGAATTTTATTTAAAATAAATTATTACTTTAACTTAAATCTGTCTTAAAAGAAATAAATAAATATATATTCTAAAAGAAATAAATATACATCCGTAAAATAAAAAGAAGTTCAAATCAACATCGTATTTAAAACTTGTCATGATCATGTTGATATATTGAAATATCACAAGAATAATTAGAATTTGGTAGCAATATATGTTCACATGATAAATTACAAAAACACTTTATTATTTTATTAAACTTAATAAATTTATGATTATTATAAAATATTCGTTGTTATTATAGAATGTAACAAAACATATATACAATAGCATGAGAGAACAAAAAGAACAGTGAATTAATATGATAAATGAATGATGAAGATAAATTTTATTATTGCCTTAGAATTTAAGTTTACCGGTTTAATAATAATTTCTAATTTCTTAATAATTTCATTACAATTACATAATATCGTATTAATTTTTGACAGTGGTGCAGAAACGTACATGCATTGGGTAATATGTTAAAAGGATTCTTCGCTTGTCTTATTACAATATTAGTTGTGATATTCTATAATGCATGTATATTATGTCTACTCATATATTTAAGTACATATATTAATTTTTCAAAAGGAAATATTAATAGTTCCTTTGCGATTATCATTTTAATGGCATACTTCGTAACTGTTATTATTTTATCTAAAAATATGGAGAAAAAACAAGTAATCAGCAACAGTAAAAGGTATGTTTAAACAATTAACTGTACAAATTATTTTTGTTTATTTTTAACGTTTAACTATCGAACATTTATGTATTTCAATTTATGCACTTTATATGTTTTATGATTTATCACCTTAATTTTAATGTTAATAACTGATAAATTTGTAGCACGTTTTTCATAAAGATTTCAGTTTATTTGTCGTTTTATTTAGTAAAAAAAATACGAATTTAGTTAAATAAAATCGAAAGCTACGTTTCTAATTTAATTTCAAACTTATTTATATCAGGTTAAATCATAAAAATAATTAATTAGAAATTTCAAAATTAAAAGAGAAAAATTAACTTTAATTTGATTAAAGAATATGGAGGAAAAAAAGATAAATTGAGAGGCTGTACATTACATTAACAAATTTATTAAATAAAGAGCATTCTAATCCTAATTTAAGGAATGTTAAAATATTTCAACAAATATTATATAATGAAAGATTACAGAGCAGAAAATAAATTACAGATAAGTAAAATAAATTCTCTATTTTATTTCGTATTTGTTTGCAGATTACGTAATGCTTGTCACACGTGGTACAGAGAAAATAGTCACGCTAAAGTGATAAAAAGTAATAGAATCAGAATTTTTTAAATTGTACATATTTTACTATCGGTATACTCTTATCCTGCGACAAGGTTATTAAAATGACGTCATTATAATGAAGTTATAATGCAACAATGAAATGATGATAGAATCGCTATTATTAAAACATTTTACGGAAGGACTTTTTATTATTAAAACTTTTATTATTTTACGGAAGGACGATAGAATAAATAGTTGTTTTATTCTTATATCATGAAGTAATTAATTAAATGTCACAATTAATTCAAAAAATTACTTTTTACTATATTTACTATATTTATATTAACATGAAGAAGAATTACGGAAATTAATATTTTGAAAAGCACATAAAAGAAAATAGTATATGTCTAAAACGGTATGTGTAGATTCTAAAAACATAAAAATAGATTATACATATTGCCTTTATATTCGATACATATATTTTTGTTGTATCATACAAAAAAATGTGTTAAAAATATTTACATATTTTTATTATATATTAATAAAAATACGGATAAGAATTTACATTCAGTAAATTTGTATTCATATATAATTGAGGAATATATGCAGGAATGCTCAACGAGATATATATATTATACAATAAACTATGTAAATAAAATAAATAAAATTAATAATATTGTAAATTTTTGCAGATTACATTAATTAATTTATTTTGAATAAATAATTTTTTAATTTATTCATTTTATTTTATATTAATTAATTAACTTAATTTAATTAAATGCTCTTATACAATCGCAGCATCACGGAACAATGAGATATAAGAATATGTGACCACTGTTAGCAGTTTTGAATATGTATACATATATATATATTAGTATCAACATGCAATAAAGAAAAATTTACTTCAATTGTATTTTATTCGCGAATATATGTTCAATATATTTTTACATAACGTATGTTTCGAACACAAAGAAAATATATATAACTTATATTTCTGATATTCTTGTAATTTAAACGTTCTTAAAATCTACATGTTGATAGAATTGCTATACAAAATTATTTTCTATATGTGAAAATAAAAAATCTCATGTTTTTAAATGTTTTACAAATATCTGTATTTACAAATATATATATTAATATATGCATTCATGTAATCATTTATTATTGAATAAAAGAAATTTAGTATACTAGAATACCTTATAGTAGTTACTCAAAATTTTTATCATTAACAATTGTAAATTATATTACAAAGCACCATGTCTATGGACCATATATTAGAAGCTGTAAGAAATGTGAATAGAATTTCAGGTGATGCATGAATATAACTATAGCAATTATTTTTGTTAAGAGACATTCGCCGTTTTTTCATCCAGCTTCATCTGTCTACATCTGCGAATCCGAAATCGGACAATTTAGATATTAAAGTGATAATCCATGAACAATTCATTCTTTGAGCATTTTAATTCTCGTATTTTATATCTCTACAAGAATTCCCAATGGAAAATTATATTATTATTGATATACGTTTTATTATTGATATTATCGCCATTTTTAGCAAAGATGAGCTTTTTAATTGCAAAGAGATAAATTGAGTTGACAAAACTTATTCTCCAAATCAATTATAATTCAATACTCTAATTTGGCGAGAACCACAATTTATTGAAATCTAAAGCAAATGATTTTTATAAAGAAAATGTTATTTTCAAGCTTAAATAATATAATGTTTTTGTTTATCTAGCAGAAGTAAATTTTTATTTTCATAGGGGCAATTATTATTAATTATTCATTACTTATAGCTTCTTTATATTACTTCAAATAAATGTTTATTCAATGAAGTCATTTTATGTTGTCATATTGGACATACATTTTATTAATTTTAAATGAGTCTTTTAATTTAAATTTAACATGTATGAAAATTTTGAATTTTTGGAGTAGATAAAAAACAAATAACAATTGAATTTCAAAAAGTATCATAACCGAAATTTACATTAAAATCCATAACGAATACAAATTTAAAAATTAGGAACAATTACATTATGGTACATATACGAGACAAACTGAGTATTTCAAGCAACCTGTTGTCATTTCAATATTTCCATTTATCAACATATTTTAACTCAATGTCAAAGATAATAGTTCTAGGAAATTTATAGTGCTGTAACGACGAGAGAGTGAAATTCGGAAAATTTTCAAAGCATACTGGTCGCTTTGATACTCCAAACATCCGATAATACAGTTTATTGTTTAACAAATTAACGCAAATGGCAGACCAATATGATACGATAGATGCATATGAAATGCGCGAGTTATCTTCTGAGACAGAATCAATAATCTATGAAAGTGATCCTATTGCCTTTGTATGCTTATATTGTAAGAAAGGTAATATTCTTCTTATAAAATAAAAAAATATCTGTGAATTCTTAAAAATTATAATAGAAATTTATAACAGAAATTTTAATCATACTTTATTCTTCAATTATGTTATGTGTTCAGTTATATGTTTCTTATAACGATAATATTGTACTCATAGTCAAAATGACTGAATTAACATTTCACAGATGTTTAATTTTTCATTAATTTGTTAAATATCGCACATACAATTGTTACTTGTCGAATCTTGTAAAATCAAATGTATGTAAATTTGCTTATGGCAGATAACAGTACAGGAAAACTCATATGTCCATGTGAATGCATTGGCAAGTTTATACATATTGATTGTTTAGAGACTATGGTCAATGTCGGAAGAGTCTCTTATTGCATGGAATGTAAAACTGCCTTCCCGCTGGAATATAAGCGCAAACCATTAATAGAGGTAAGTCATACGAAAGAGTTGACAATTGTGATATATTTCTCACATGAAGTAATTTGGTTCCAAAAAGAACTTAACGTTTTCAAAATAAATTATTACTTTAATTTAACAAATCTGTTTTGAAAGAAATGTATATATATATATAAAGAATGAAATAAAAGGAATAATGAAATAAAAAGAAGTTCAAATCGAAAACTTGTCATGATCATGCTAATATATCAATATATATCACAAGAATTAGAATTTGATAGCAATATATTATTCTTGATTGATTATAAAAGCGGATTATTATTTCATTAAATTTAATATATAAATAATTATTATAGAAGATAAATTTCAATATTGCCTTAGAATTTTAATACTTAATTTATCGATTTAATTCTTAATAATTTTATTGAAAGAGATATTAATATTATATTCATTTTTGACAGTGGTGCAGAAATGGGCATGCGGAACTACGTAATACATTAGGAAGATTCTGTATTTTTCTTATTGTAATAATAGGTGTAATGATCTATAATATAAGTATCCTTGTCATTATCGGATTATTATGTACATTTATTGATTTCTCAAAAACCGAAAATATCGACGTTTCCATTATGATCATCTTTGTGATTATATGCGACATGATTTTTGTTATTTTAACTAAATATTGCGAAGCAAAGCTAGTGATCAACAATAGTAAAAGGTATGTTTGAATAATTAATATTTATAACTTATTTTTGTATTTAATTTCAGACTTAATTATCAAACATTTATGGAAAATTGTATTTCAGTTTATGCATTTCATAATGTCTTGTAATTTATCACCTTTTAGTGTCAATTATAACTGATAAATTTATAGTATTCTTCTCATAAAGATTCCAAATATTTGTCGCTTTATTTAATTAAGAAAATGTGGATATAGTTAAATAGAACCCAAAGCTACGTTTTTAATTTAATTTTAAATTTATTCATAACAGGTTTAATTATGAAAATGATTAATGTTAGAAATTTAAAAGTTACAAATGAAAAATTTACTTTAATTTCAAAAATATGCAGAAAAAAGATAAATTGATAAGCTCTGTATATTAATAAAGTTGCATTTATCAAATAAAGAGCATTTCAAACATGAAATATTAAAAATATTTTAACAAATATAATAAAGAAAGACAGAGCAAATAAAATAAATTCTCCATTTTATTTCTTATTTGTTTCCAGATTACAGTATGCTTATCGTATGTGGCGTAGAGAAAATAGTGACGCAAAAGTGATAAAAAGTATGCGTTTTAACGAAATCACAACTTTATAAGTTGTACATATCTTACTACTCGATATATTTTTACCTTTTCAATAGCAAGGTTATCAAAATGACATCATTATAATGAAAAAATGCAACAATGAAGTGATGATAGAATTGCTATTATCAAAACATTTTATAATTTTACGAAAAGACGATAGAATAAACAATTGTTTTATTCTTATGTTTTAAGAAATAATTTATTAAATGTCAAAATTAATTCAAAAAGTTATTTTTTATATATTAACATAAAGAAGAATCCCTGTAATTAATATTTTTAGAAGTATAAAAGAAAATAGAATATGACTAGGAGTATGTGTAGTTTCTAAAAACATAAAAATAAATTACATATATCGCCTTTATATTCGATACATTCAATATATTTTTGTTGTATATCATACAAAAAATGCGTTAAAACATTTGTTATATATTAATAAAAATAAGAATTTATATTCACTGAATTTCACTATAGCTGAGAAATAGGCGTAGAAATATCTCAACAAGATAAGTATATTGTGCAATAAATTATATAAATAAAACAAAAAATATAATTAAAATATTGTATTGTATTATAAACTTTTTTACACATTACACTAATTAATTTAATAATTAAATAACTTTATTTTATTTATTTTTATTTATTTTATTTATTTTATGTTAATTTATTCAATTATTAGTTAAAAATTAAGATAAATAAATTTTTATATTATAATTCATTAAGTTGACTTAATTAAGTTAACTTTTAACTTAATGATGTAAAATCACAGCATCTTAAAATTCCGGAAACAATGGGATAAAAAAATGTATGTAATCACTATTATTGATTTTGAATATGCATATACATATATGCATATACATATATATGACTCTCAATATGTAATAAAAACATTTATTTTGAATTTGTTTTATTTGCGAATAAATGATCAATACATTTTTCATAGCATATGTTTCGAATACAAAGAAAATATATATATTTTCCATTTTCCATTATTTAAACGTTTTCAGAATCTACATGTATTATTAGAATTGATATTCACAAAATTGTTTTCTGTATGTAAAAATAAAAAAGTCTCATGTTTTTACAAATGTATGCATTTGTCTGTTATCATTTTCATACATTTGTTTATAATATCATCCTAGTGAATAAAGAAATTTAGTATACCTGAATATTTTATAGTAGTTGCCCAAAATTTATATCATTAAATAGCAGATGATCGTAAATCATATCATAGAGATCATATATCATATGACTTCGTTTATGGATCATATATTAGAGGACGGTTAAAAATGCCAACGTAGAATTTCAGGTGATGCGTAAGCATGACTATCGTAATTAGTGTGTAATTAGTTGTGTTGAAAGGAATTTGCCATTTTTTAGCTGAAGCTGAAAGACAGATAAATCTATCTACATGCAAATCCGAAATTGGTCAATTTGATATTGAAGTGATAATCCATTAACAAATTTTTGTATTTTATATCCCTACAAAAATTTCCAATAGAAAATTATATTATAATTATTATAAAATACTTTCGATAATAATTTTCATAATTAAACAATTTTAATTTTTAAACTACACGATTTTTCTCGATGTTTTCTCAAATTTTATATCCTGTACTTCATTTGGAAAAGAAATCAATCAATCAATTTGTGGTTTCTATGAGCTGCAGAAAATGAATTTGATGCGAATGATTTAATTTTTTGGTTACCTCCATCTCGCGAGATGGAAATTTCGTAAAGTACTTTTCGAGGATAAAAAATTTGATTCTTATCGTCATTTGGCAATTGTGTCGATTGGATTTCGCGATTTGCATACGTACAAACATATTATATACATATAAGATATATGGAATTAAAGAATTTACTATAGAAAAGAAAAGGAAGAGAGAAGAATAGAAGAATATGATTATTTTATCGATGGCATAAGATCCAGCGGCTAATTTTTTCGAGAGCATAACTGTGTGATTCGAGCATCGTCCATTTTTTTTTGGTTCCATTTCTATATCTCTAAAGATGAGCTTTTTGATTTCAAAAAGAAAGTTTAAAATAAACTACGAATTAACAAAATTTATTCTCCAAACTAATGTTCTAATTTATTTAAAACTAATTGTAATTTATTAAAATCTGAAGCAATTGATTTTTATAGAAGAAATAGAAGAAATGGAAGAAATGGACGATTGCTTAAATAATGTATAATGTTTTTTTTTCTAGCAGGAATAAATCCTTATTTTGATAAGGGTAATTATAATTACCCTAGTTATAATTACCCTAGTACTTTCTTCATATTACTTCAAATAAATATCTGTTTAATGGGAAAATCATTTTACTTGTCGCATTAAATATTTACGTTTTGATTTGAACATGAAATTTTAATTTAAATTTGACGAACGATATCTGTGAACGATAATTTTGAATTTTTGATATAGGCAAAGAACATATGACTTAGCTGAAGTTCGATAAATATCAAAGATTGAAGCTTACGATGAAATCGATAATAAATTTATATTCAAAACTCAGGAAGAATTACATAATGTTATGTAGGATACGATCCACTTGGTGCTACAAATTTTTTTGATTGATCAATTCATAAAATTCTTCGTTCTGATCAATTAAATGCTTTGAAACATTTGTAGCATCAAGTGAATCGTACTCATATACTAAGTATTTTCTATATTTTAAACAATCTGTGGTCATTTAAAATATTTCAATTTAAATACATAAAAATATTTTTCTTCAAACTCCAAAATAACTAAAAGTTCTAAAAGATTCGTACTGTGATGACAAAAAGAAATTCAAAGAATTTTCAGACATCGATCGCCTGGATTCAAACGTTTAACAATATATTCTTTAATAAACGGAAATCGAAATTTGCGTTAAATTCCACAACGAAAAGATTCATATTCAAAATTCAGGAAGAGTTGGGTCTGTCCTTTTTAGCTGAACTGGCTGCACTAGTTCAGAGTTTATTTTTCTTCTTCCAATGTAAGAAAGAAAGAAAAAAATTTGGATTAGTACAACCAGTTCAGCCGAAAAGAACAGAGCTATTATGTTATATATACGAGCCAAATTGAGCTGTTCAAACAATCTGTTGTCATTTGAAATGTTTCCATTTGTGCTCCAAGTGTATCAAAGTATTTTGGCTCGATGTCAAAGGTAATAGTTTTAGGAGATTCATTGTACTGTGACGACGAAAAGAGTAAGATTCAGAAAATTTTCACAGCACATCGATCGCTTTGCTCCAAACGTTGAATAATAAAATTTATTGTTTACTAAATTAATACAAATAGCAGACAAATAGCAATACGATATAATGAATGCGTATGAAATGAACAAACTTTCTTCCGAGATAGAATGGACTTCTGAAAGCAGTGTTGCTGTCTTTAACTTTGTATGTCGACGTTGTAACAAAGGTATGTGCATTTTTTTATGAAATAAAAAGGATATATCCGTCTAATCTTTCAAAATTTATAGTATAATCATATTTTATTCTTAAACTTATGTCTCTTATAACGATGATATTATACCAGTAATCAGACTCAATTAATATTTAACGGATATTTAATTTATTATTTATTAAGGACCGTATATACGATTGTTACTTATTGTTACTTATCAAACGTTACAAAATCAAATGTATGTAAATTTATTTATGGCAGGTGACAGGACGGAAAAACTCATACGTCCATGTAAATGCACTGGCGATCAGGAATTTATACACACTGACTGTTTAGAGACTCTAGTCAGAGTCAGAAAGCTTACTCATTGCGTACGTTGTAGAACTTTTTACCCGTTGGAATACAAGCGCAAACCACTAATAGAGGTAAATCATACGAAAGAATTGATAACTGCAATATTTCTTAAATAAAACAGTTTGGGCAGTTCCAACAAGAATTTAATATTTTGTTTAAAATAAATTATTATTTTCACTTAAATCTGTCTTAAAAGAAATAAATATATATTCTAAAAAAAATAAATATATATCCGTAAAATAAAAAAAAGTTCAAATCAATTATCGGTCGTATTTAAAACTTGTCATGATCATGCTGATATATCAAAATATCACAAGAATAATTAGAATTTGGTAGCAATATATGTTCACATGGTAAATTACAAAAACATTTTATTATTTTATTAAACTTAATAAATTTATTATTATTATAAAATGTCTGTTGTTATTATAGAGTGTAACAAAACATAATAAACAGCATGAGAGAACAAAGAGAATAGTGAATTAATATGGAAGATAAATTTTATTATTGCCTTAGAATTTAAGCCTAACTTACTGGTTTAATTCTTAATAATTTTATTACAAGTGAATTACATAATATTATATTAATTTTTGACAGTGGTGCAGAAATGGATACGCATTGAGTAATATGTTAGAAGGATTCTTTGCTTGTTTTATTACAATATTAGGTGTAATAGTCTATAATACATGTACATTCTGTCTACTCATATATTTATGTACATGTATTGATTTTTCAAAAGGAGAGATTATTAGTTCCTTAATGATTATCATTCTAAATATATTCTTCGTAATTATTATTATTATATCTAAAAATTACGAGAAAAAACAAGTGATCAACAGCAGTAAAAGGTATGTTCAAATAATTAACTGTTTAAATTATTTTTGTTTACTTTTATAAAGTAAATTAAAATTTAACTATCGAACATTTATGGATAACTGTATTTGAATTTACGCACTTTATATGTTTAATTTATCACCTTTATCAACTTTAATGTTAATTGTTAATTGTAACTGATAAATTTGTAGCACTTTTTTCATAAAGATTCCAGTATTTGTTATTTTATTTAGTAAAAAAAACAAACGAATTTACGAATTTATATAAACGAATTTATATAAACAATACGAATTTAAATAAAACCCAAAGCTACATTTCTAATTTAATTTCAAATTTATTTGTATCAAGTTTAATCATGAAAATAATTAATATTAGGAATTTAAAAGTTAAACAAAATTAACTTTGATTAAAGAATATGCAGAAAAAAAAGATTAGTTAATAGACTCTATAATGTATTAAGTTAACAAAGTTACATTTATTAAATAAAGAGCAATCTAATCCTAATTTAAGGAATGTTAAAATGTTTCAACAAGTATTATATAATGAAAGATTTACAGAACAAATAAAATATATTCTTCATTTTATTTTGTATTTATTTGCAGATTACGTGATGCTTGTCACACGTGGTGCAGAGAAAATAGTCACGCAAAAGTAATAAAAAGTTCGCGTAATAGAATCAGAATTTTTTAAATTGTACATATTTTATTATTCGGTGTATTCTTATATTTTCTGCGACAAGATTATTAAAATGACGTCATTATAATGATTTCATTATAATGAAGTTATAATGCAATAATGAAGTAATGACAGAATCTCTATTAAAACATTTTATAAATTTACGGAAGGACGCTTTATGATAGAATAAACAGTTGTGTTTTATTTTTATATCTCATGAAATTAAATGTCAAAATTAATTAAAAGAATTACTTTTTACATAACATGAAGAAGAAATGCGAAAATTAATATTTTTAGAAGCGCATAAAAGAAAATAATATATGTCTAAGACGGTATGTGTAGATTCTAAAAACATAAAAATAGATTATATATATTGCCTTTACATTCGATACATATATTTTTGTTGATCATACAAAAAAATGTGTTAAAAATATTTACATGTCTTTATTAATAATAAAATTTACATGTTATTATTAATAAAAATTTACATTCAGTAAATTTGTATTCATGTATAATTGAGGAATATATGCAGGAATGCTCAACGAGGTATGTATATTATGCTATAAACTATGTAAATAAAATAAATAAAATATTGTATACTTTTTTGCAAATTACATTTATTATTTTATTAACTTATTTTAAATAAATAATTTTTTAATTTATTCATTTTTATTTTATATTAATTAATTAAATTAATTGTTAATTAAAAGTTAAGATGAATAAATTCTTATATTATAATTAATTAAATGATCTTGTACAATCGCAGCATCACGGAATAATGAGATATAAGAATATGTGACTACTATAAGCAGTTTTGAATATGTATACATATATATTAATCCATATATATTATTATCAGTATACAATAAAAAAATTTATTTCAATTTTATTTTATTTGCGAATACATGTTCAATATATTTGTACATAATATGTTTCGAACACAAAGAAAATATATATAACTTATATTTCTGATATTCTTGTAATTTTAATGTTCTTAGAATGTACATGTTGATAGAATTGTTATACAAAATTATTTTCTATATGTGAAGATAAAAAATCTCATGTTTTTACATGTTTTACAAATATCTGTATTTACAAATATATACATTTGTAATATATGCATTCATGTAATCATTTATTATTGAATAAAAAAAATTTAATATACTTAAATATTTTACTTAAATACCTTATAGTAGCTACTACAAATTTTTATTATTAACAGACAATTGTAAATTATATTATAAAGCACGTTTATGGATCATATATTAAAGACTATAAGAAAATCAGAGTAGAATTTCAGGTGATGCATGAACATAACTATAGCAATTATTTTTGTTAAAAGACCATTAATTCTCCATTTTTCAGTTTCACATGCGAATCCGAAATCGAACAATTTAGATATTGAAGTAATAGCCCATGAGCAAATTCTCATATTTTATATCTCTACAAGAATTCCCAGTGGAAAATTATATTATTATCGATATGTTTTGTTATTGATATTATTATTATTTTTAGCAAAGATTAGCTTTTTAACTGCAAGGGATAAAATAAATTACGAGTTGACAAAATTTATTCTCCAAATCAATTATACTCCAATATTCTAATTTGGCGAGAACCACAATTTATTGAAATCTAAAGCAAATGATTTTTATAAAGAAAATGTTATTTTCAAGCTTAAATAATATAATGTTTTTGTTTGTCTAGCAGAAGTAAATTCTTATTTTCATAGGGGCAATTATTATTAATTATTTATTACTTATAGCTTCTTATATTACTTCAAATAAATGTCTATTCAATGGAGAAGTCATTTTATGTTGTTATATTGAACATACATTTTATTAATTTATAAATGTCTTTTAATTTAAATTTAACATGTATGAAAATTTTGAATTTTTGGAGTAGATAAAAAACAGTGACAACTGAATTTCAAAAAGTATCATAACTGAAATTTACATTAAAATCCATAACGAATACAAATTTAAAAATTAGGAACATTTACATTATGGTACATATACGAGACAAACTGACAACTGTATTTCAAACAACCTGTTGTCATTTCAATGTTTCCATTTAAGTATATCAAAATACTTTAACTCAATGTCAAAGATAATAATTCTAAGAAATTTATAGTGTGACGACGAGAGAGTGAAATTCGGAAAATTTTCAAAGCACACACTGGTCGCTTTAATACTTCAAACGTTCGATAATATAGTTTATTGTTTAACAAATTAACACAAATGGCAGATCAATATGATACGATAGACGCATATGAAATGCACGAGTTATCCTCTGAGACAGAATCAATAACCTATGAAAGTGATCCTACTGCTTTTGTATGCTTATATTGTAAGGAAGGTAAGTATTCTTCTTATAAAAAAAAATATCTGTGAATCTTTAAAAATTTATAATAGAAATTTTAATCATACTTTATCTTTCAATTTATGTTTTTTATACGATAATATTGTACCCATAGTCAAAGACTGAATTAACATTTCAGATGTAATTTTTCATTAATTTATTAAATATCGCACATACAATTGTTACTTGTCGAATCTTGTAAAATCAAATGTAAATTTGCTTATGGA